TTTCTCTCACTAACCTTGAAATGAAAAAGCTACGGAACGCCGTTTCTGGTGCACACCTATCTTCATCATGGCACCCGCATCGACCACCGGCACAACTTTTCACTTTACAACATTCTGCTGTACATCAACTCGGCGACGCCGCGCGGCTCCGTCTCGTCATCGTTGTTGCTGCGCACCGAGTCCATCGCCTTTGTGCCGCAGCTGCTCTTGTCGTGCGTGCTCATCCCGCTCGTTCTCGCCAAAAAGGACCTCGCCACGTCCATGATGGCGCAGACATTTGCCTTTGTCACGTTTAACAAGGTCTGCACGTCTCAAGTACGTTTCCCCCCCCCCCCTTCCCATTTCTTTATCCTTTCAACTTTTGTTTTGGCACAAAAGAAAAAAAAAAGAAAAAAGCTGCTAATGATTTGGTACTAGTATTTCCTCTGGTACATGATTTTTCTGCCGCTCTACCTGCCAGGCTCATCGCTGCTGCGGAACCCCAGGCTCGGAATCTCGGCCTTATTGCTGTGGGTTGTCGCGCAGGGTGCGTGGCTGCAGCAGGGCTATGAGCTTGAATTTCTTGGGAGGAGCACTTTTGTACCGGGCTTGTGGTTGGCCTCGCTGGCCTTTTTCCTAGTGAATTGCTGGATATTGGGCATCATTATCAGCGACGGAGCACGAGGTCGTTCAGTAGATAAAAAGACGCATACAGAATGAAAACTTGGACATCAGTGGCTCCGAGAGAAAATTGGCTAGTAGTAAATTAGAGAAATTTGGTCATTGATTTTAAAATTTCTTTATTATCGTGAGTGGCATAGCTCAATATGTATAGCCTAGTTCCATTTGCGCGTATCTTGGTACTCTGCGATGTGATGTATCTAAGAGATCGGATATATCTCCCCCACTTGAACCCAAGAATAAACAAAAATGTGTAAATAGCTGCCCGGGGGTATATAGGGCCTGGCAAAAGTGAAAATTATCCAGTCTCTTCGCCACAAATAACGCCATGCTGCCGCAAATTAAAAGAACAAGAAAGCGAGCCCAACGCCGGTGTATGATGCAATTGTAGCTAATTGGTTCCGAGTTTTCTGTGCCGCGCATGACAAGGCTGGGCGGCTCACAGAATCACCGTGCGGGTTGAAAATATTTGGTAATTGGAAATTTTGAGGGAGGTGATGCGCGCACGCGGGTTCTCGGGTGAAATGAGGATTCGTCCGTCTTTTCCGTAGGAAATGTAGCCAAAATTCTCGCTCAAATCCCGGAATTTGGCGGTTGGGCGAGCCGTGGCCATTTCGTTACAAATGTCCCTGCTCCAGACTCCGCTGCATTCGCCGCGTTGAAACAAAAAGTATGGGTTTAATGCGGGAATAATTGAGTCTATGGATCGAATTAGTAGAGAAGGCAGATATTGGTATCCGTAGTGTGTATACGAACCTAGATCGACGAACCGAATTCGGAGATATTCAACGCGCTGGAATCGAGCCAAAGATCTGATGCCAGAAATGACGAGCTTTTCAAAGGCCTCGATGAATCCCATATCTTGAATACCGGAGCCCGAGTCGGAGAAGATGTTGGAGTGACGACAGCAATTCTTAAGAGTGATGTCAATGGACCGGAGTCGACTTGGTGCAACGGCGCTCTGACTGGCCACCTGGAAAAAGTGATGGCAGATGCGCCCAGTGTAAGAAAACTGCTCGAGCCTCGGTATGATATTTCCGAGGACTGCGCATATATGTGTCTGGTGAGATGCTTTGGCATAAAACGCCGGAACCACGGCTTCCCGCCTGTAATCGTTTTCGAGGCACAGGCTAAGATGCTTGATACTCGCCGGAATGAACGGCATGAATCCAGAAACAGTAATGTAGCTCTTTGACTTGGGCTTGCTGTAAGCGCCTTGCCATTCCTCTAAATTGGGAAGAGCTCCAAGGATGGAAACAAAATCAGAATGGTCTCGCATCAGGTTCCATTGGCCTTTAGTGACGAGGGTCGTTACGGAGGGTATGAGGGGGAGAGTTGGCTCTGGGTGGAGGCAACGGCGATTATAGTTGAAGTGGACAACCTGAGGCGCTTTTCGACGTTCACCCCCCTCTAGTGTAAGAACCCTCGTCCGGGGCAAGACAAAAGATACAAATTTGAAGACATCCTCGAGGGTGCAGTTGTTCCCTGCGAGGGCATAGGACGCAGCCGACAGATCATCGGTGAGGATCACGGGCAGCAGGAAGGTATCGGAAAGTGCCAGAGGTCCGTGGCTTGGCTGAAAAACTGGGAACCAGATCTCAATATGTCTGACATGGTCGGCAAGATGCTGGCCTGGACCGGCGAAATGAACAATGGCCTGGTTAATGGAGCCGACGGTGCCTTTCAATTTGAGATGTCGATAGAGTCTCTGCTGCACCAAGATTCGCCAGGTGGGGCTGATGAGCGCCAAGCGTGTCATTTCCCGTCTCCTCGAGGAGCGCAGCGACGTTCCCAAGCTACCAGCTGCATTAGGCGACCACAGGCCAGACCTGGGGCAGATTTTGGGACTGACTCCGAGTAAATGGTCCAAGATGGCTTCGTGGATCTCGATGGGCAGACGAGAGAAGTGTGCGGCCGGTCGTCTCTGTTTATAAGTCTCGTCGGCAGATGGAGATGTGGTAATATGGTCAAGGGCAAGGGCAAGGGCAAAATCCAGTGTGCTAGAGTCTGCAGCTTCCTTGGTGTCGGTGAAGGGGTAGGGCGTGCTGCTGGGCCGCGCGGGAGGGACGACGGGAGAGTCGGGCTCCCGGGATGATTTCGTGTCTGGACTTGCGCGAGCGCTTTGGGATGAGGGCGGAACGGATATACTCGATGTGACTGGCGCGAACCTGTATGGTAGTCGAGGAATGAGGTGGTCGGACGGGGTTACTGGGAGTATTTTGTAGTCTGCAGCTACGGCTAGTTCGATGGCAAGGGCATCGCGGTCGAGAGTGCAAAGGTCGTCCATGACGGCAGATAGTTAGGAATAGAAGCGTACTGCAGCAAGGACAGGAGCATCTCAGTCACGACCGGGAGACGAGGGCGGCAGAGAGGCGCGGCGGGCTCGAAGCGCCGGATGGCGAGAAATCGAATTCCAGGATGAGGTTGAGACGACGAAGAATGGGAGAGAGAAGCGTTCGGTTGAGGCGAAAGGACGAAAAAGTAGTGGTTGCAAAGGCCAACGGTGGAAGTAGCAAAGGTTTCAAGGTACGGAATCACGTAGCGGACTGCGATCAAACAGCTGCGAGTGTGGTGGCCAAAGAAAAGTCGTGGTGGCGCAATGGGAGAAAGTTTGTAACCAAGCCTTGTGCAGTGTTGAGATTTGGGCGCAGTAATAGATGGTTAGTGGCACATAGAGACTACCGTCAAGGCAGGGCGAATGTATTTTCTCATAGGGCGGCAGGGTTGCTTGCGTGTCGATTATGAGGTCTTTCGGAGAAGCCGCGAGAAAAGGTTGGATGGTGATGTAGTGGCGCACTTGGGAGGGACCGGTCGGGATCGGAAACTGCCGCCGCGTCAATGCGGTATCGCTGCGGTTGAGGTTTCGAATCGATCAAAAGGACACAGTGTGCACGGCGAGAGAAGAAGAGGTGCAGCAAAACACAAGGCGGGAGAATACCTAAGAGAAGATAAAGGAAAGCAGAGGCAAAACGCAAACGCAGCAAAAGGGAGGAAGATGGGGAAATTGGGCCATGTGTTGTAATGGAGGCACGGCAAAATCTGGGCATCTGCAGGTGGAGAGGATGTATCCTGCATACCAAGCCAAGGTGAAGAGGTACATTAGGCCTACGTTAAGTAATCCGTGCAGAGTCAGGGATCGGCTAGCCACCTACCTCTTGGAGCACCACTGAAAACATCACTGAAAGCACCGTTGAAAAGCACTGCACAAATGCTCCACACGATGGGGGGTCGTCTATTTACGAGGTATTTCCTGGATTTAGGCGTGAGATGGTGTCATTTCATTAACCCTGCCATATTTAGAAGACCCTGAGAGTTGTTTGGCCACGTAATTAAGAAAAGATGGCCTTGGACGAGTTGGATCATCATCCATCCCAAGGTGCCCAAAATGCCTTTATCAATCAACAGTACAAATGCCCGAGATGCCCAAAAAATTTGCCTGGATTAAATACCACCCGATGCTCATCTCATAGGTCCGGCCCCGCCGTCACCGCCTTGGGCCGTGGCCGGAGAGGTGCTGCTGCCCAGTGATGCTCCCGCCTTTTTTTTTAGCTGCGCCCCATCGGCCAGATCTGGTGATGGCGCCCACTTTGTAAATGAGCTGCGGCCAATTGATTTCCTGATTCTACATCTTTTTCACTGGTAAACACCTCGCCGCCTCTTGCAAGATATGTCGTCCTCTATCAAAATCAGACAAGATGATAATTTATATATCTCTCCCCACATCGCTTTTTACTTTTCCCAGTCTCGCATCTATTATTATGAGGAATCATTCATCGCCCTGGTACGGATCCGTACTTGTTGTAAGAATGAGAGTATACGTAGCATCGAGAGTACTTTTACTCGTCACCGGCTGCATATCGCCTCCATGATACGTAGAAACAGTTGTCCTATTAACGATGGTTTACTGCTTTGCAGATCGCCACGCGTCTTCCTTGCCAACCAATGCCACCGCCACCGCATCACGCGCGCTCCCAACCATGCAGCCATTTAGCCATCCAACCATCCAATCATCTAACCGTCCAGCAGCTCACGTGTCTACACCATGGTTCGGCTAAGAACCCGTGCTTCACCACGTCGAGAAGAAAAGAGTCAAAGTGTATGCGTAGTAAGGCGCCCAAATACTGGCAATACTCTGACTCTCGGATCCAGCCGCCACCGAATATGTACGGCGCTCGCATAGAAGCTGTGCGTGAAATCGCAACCTTTTGCCACCAACTTTTCTTGAAAGAAATTAAGTTGATGTGTACAGCAAACGTTCCGTAGATCTTGATTGATGGCCGCCATTCAACGTCCGTGTGTGATTTTCACGTTGCAGCCACCCGTCGCTCACTACCACCCTTCCCAGCAACACGACCATGGTCCCATTCCTCGAGTAGGGTCCAAACATTTCAAGAATCACTATTGCAAATCCTCGTTTAGCCTCATCTTTTCCACCTAATTCGCGACGACCCAGCCTTTGATATGATTTGAGTCGCTGTAGAATTTGTCTCGCCGGCAATTAGCAGCATGGCTGGTATAGGAGCTTGGCCCGAGAAGGGCTGCTTGCATCCCATGTTGCAACGCCAATGTCGACTTTGTCCCCGTTTGCCCGTTTCGACCAAAACGTAAAGTGTCAGGCAGCTAAAGAAGCGGGGCTATTGATAACCAATCTGATTCTGTGGCTTTAAACAAGATAACAAAGGGGCCGGGTTTCACGTCAGAGACAGTGGGCCCGCGATGGCAAGATGGGTAGTTCTTGAGTCTTGGGGTGTTCCGTCAAATCTAGCCATTGAGCCTCAAGCCGCTGCCAAGTTCAAGTCTTATTATGGCCCATGTGCAGAAATGAAAGGAGCGCCGAGAATTAGCTAGTCATTTCTGGAAGAGTGCTCTTTGGGTGCAAGTCATTCTTCCAAAGCGAGTCAAACGAGCCCGGATAACCGAACAACCGCTGTTCAGGAATAAGTTGGACATTTCCCCAGACATTCGAAACGCTGCGCGGTTACATAGCTTGGCTGCAAGAACTCGATGTCATCTCAAGTACAGCATGGATGAGACTGGTTGCATACACCCCTTTTACTGATAACTACACTGCTTGCCCGAGGTTGTGGAAGCTGCGCATGATAATGGTAGTCTCTTACGGGACACCTGAGAGCTCACCAGTTTACCGCGCCCCTATTGCCTATTGTGCAGCAGAGCATCTAATCCCGAGGCTAAGAATTGTACGTTTCAAACAAGCCGATTACCTGAGAATACGGTAGCATTGATGATTATGCAAAAGAAAATTGATGACAATCTTTGCTTTCTAAGCGACTGGGAGTAGGCCGACCTGCTTGTATAAGCCGTGCTAATTAACCGGTATACATAGGTAGTAATTAGCTCGCTGGCGCCCTGCAGCCACGAGCTCTTAACATTCTATTTCTTCTCCGTGCAATCGAAGAAGGGGAACAAAAAAAAATAGAGAAAAAATAAAGAACAAACTAAACGTTTAATTTTGGATCAGCCTGCAAGTTTCGTTCAGCTTCGACCGCACCAGCAGCGTGATTTTTCGGTGCCTCGGGATCCAATCATCCCGCTCACACTCCCCCGGCGCCAAAACACGGCTTTCAACTACAGTGGATGTAATTCTGCGGCCACGACCGCCCGAATGAGAGCGCCAAGGGCATGCACGACAAATATGGCCCAACTTGCCTTGCTTGATGATTCAAATAATTCCGAGCAGCAATGTGCCAGTCAGATTTTTATTTTTTATTTTTCGATTCATTAGGGATGATTCTCTCCACAATCACCTATGCCGTATTACGGACGGATATAAGTGCATCACTAAAACTTGCCCGCCATGGTTGATGAATTTTTAGCCATATACGGATGATTACCCAGTTATTACCTTAGTGAATAGCATCAGTAATAACTACATTGTTCCAGCACGTCGGTCGACAAATAACTCCCCTTCCTTGATTATTTCTCTCTCAACCACCCCCTTGGAGCGCCCAGCTGTTTGAGACTTGCATCCGTGTCCGTATTTCGAAACGATTTGTCCTGCAGCCTCTGACAGTTGATCCCGCACCTGTCAGCTACCCTTTTTTTTTTTTTTCAACCTTCCCCTTGAGTCTTGGCCAATCAAATCGATTCGGCTAGCCGCCCTCCGACTTAATTTCCTTACCCCATGTACCCATCTTTCTCCATCGCGCCTCTTGAGCACCCCCGTTCCGGAGGGGCCCTTGTTCGAACCAACGACAACACACACACACACATACACACCTTACTTATAATGTACACTACACAGAGCTTGCTTGCTTGCACGTCGCACCAATGGCCCGCCCGCCGCAGCATCCAGCGGCTAAACTGCTGGATTTGGGCCTTTTCGTGCACGTTTGACCGACCGCTTCTCATGCTACTTTGTTATTATTAGCCAGCATTCGTACGGTATTTCTCGCTCCTTTTTGCCCACCCCCTTGGTGCCCTCCCCCAGTGCCCTCCCCAAAAGAGGCACCCAGACTGGAATCATCTGCCACCCCCCTTCCCCCTTCTTGGCTTCTCGCCGTTTTGTCAGGAAAAAGAAGAGGCCAGCCAAATATGGTTTCCAAGTAGACGGGGCTTTTGCTTCAGAAGTTCATATGCCCATGTTTCTCCCTTTAGCCTCTGCCTCTGCTTTCCGGCGCCCACTCTTGGCATTTTCTTCAGCTTATTCCCGCTTTCTCTTCTTGTTTGTCTATTTCTAGTCCGCTTACCCTCGTGTAGCCCTCGTCTCTCTTTCTTGCCGCCTTCTTTTCTTCCTTGTCCCCTGTCCTGTGTAGAGTTCTCTTCTTTGGCGGGCCATTCTTTCAATTCACTTCTTGATTGTGTTTGGCTGGGCCAACAACTCTAACATCTTAGCTCTCTTGGTCTTTCTGCCTTTTATTCATCTTTATTATTATTATTATTACTATTATTATTTCCTTTCCGCCAGCGCTGCTTTTCTTGTTCGTCATTTCTGTGTCTTCTTTTCTCGTGCCATCGCCAGCACTTCGAGCCTCTTATTGTTGCGGCTCCGACACATCCGCTCGATCACGCTTCATCACCAGGCTGCACATCTGCATTCACCAGATTCCTCTTCACCATGGCGCAATTACAATTCCTCGTCGCCTCTTTACTCTTGTTTCTCGGTCGCGCTGCCGCTGCTCCTCGTAATCCCCCCGCCGCCGCCGCCGCCGGCCCCGACTCGACCGGTTTCAGGCTTCCCATCAGCAACTTCAACGCCAAGGCTGAGAATATCATCCCCAACCGCTACATTGTCGTGTACAAGGGCGAATTCAACTCAACCGCCATCGATGCCAAGGAGGCGTCCTTTGCCACCACCCTCAAGAAGCGCAACCTCGGCAAACGCGGCCTTGGCGGCCACCTTCTCTCCACCGAGGTCCGCTCGCTCGCCATGGATTCTTGGCGCGCCAGCATCCTGGACGCCGACGACGACATGTTTATGGAAATGTATAACTCGAACGAGGTTGACTACATCGAGGCCGACGCACGTGTCCACACCTTCCTCACCTTCGCGCAGACCAATGCCCCCCCAGGCCTCGCTCGCCTCTCCCATAACCGGACTGAAAACAGCCCCAACACCTATGTCTACGACTCGTCCGCCGGAGAAAATATCACCGCCTATGTTGTCGACACTGGAATTCGCACTTCCCATATCGAGTTCGAGGGACGTGCTGTCTTGGCTGCCAACTTTGTCAACAATGTCGTAAGTCTGAACAAGACACCCGATCCACGCCTTTCTGCTGACCCATTCTTCAGGACACCGATGAAAACGGCCACGGGTCGCACGTCGCCGGAACCATAGGCGGTGCTACCTATGGTGTCGCCAAAAAAGCCCAACTCGTGGGTGTCAAGGTCCTCGACAAGAACGGCGCCGGTGCCAACTCGGGTGTCCTCGACGGCCTGCAGTTTGTCATGAACGATGTTTTGAAAAGAGGCCTCGGCGGCAAGTCCGTCATGAACATGTCCCTCGGTGGTGGCCGATCCGAGGCCGTCAACCGCGCCATCCAGCAACTCTTCGCCGCCGGCATTGTCCCCGTTGTCGCCGCCGGCAATGAAAACGTACACTAGTTCTTACCCCATCACCCCAAGACTCACATGCTAATACATGTGGTTTGTAGCAAGATGCAGCCAACACGTCGCCTGCTTCCGCCAAGGCCGCAATATGCGTCGGCGCCATCAACGCCAAAAATGATGTCAAGGCCAGCTTCTCCAACAAGGGCGAGGCCGTCGATATCTTCGCACCCGGCGTTGACATCCTCAGCGTCGGCATCGACTCCGACACAGCCACCAACACCCTCAGCGGAACCAGCATGGGTACGTACCGCGCTCATGTGCTTGCAACTTCATGAGTCAGCTTTACTGATTTCCCCTTTCTTCCCCCAAAAACAGCATCACCCCACGTCGCCGGCCTTGCCGCCTACTTCCTCGGTCTCGAATCAAACCTCAACCAGCCCGCACAGGTCGCTCGGCTCATCACGGGTCTCGCCGACAGAAGCGGTGACGAAGTGCGCCGCAACGACCCGCAAACCACAGACCGCATTGCCACCAACACCATTGGATAAGTGTGCAGCGCTCTGGAAAACAAAGAATGAGAGAAAGAGTGATCTGTAGGGTGAAGGATGTAATTACATGGCTGCCCTCTCTTGATACCCGACATTCCGGGTACCCTTGTACATGCATGTGTTGCCTGTCAACTTGAGATTAGTAGGTATCATTGACGAATCACCCTTAAAGCTGAACGCGCGGTTGTTGCGGTAAACGAATTACGAATTGCATCAAGATCAACAAGCAAGAGGCCCAACTGAGGATTGAGTTTGTAATAATATCGTTTAAAAAAGAAAGACAGCTTACATAATGGGTATGTCTGCTTTTCAACAAGGAACGGCCTTTGATAAACACGAAAAGCAACACCAAGTCGTGCCCGGCTCGCAAGAGCCAGGCTGAGAGCAAGATTGATATAAGCACTTCTTCGGCACAACCATAGTCATAAAAGGACTAGATTGCAATTTGACATCCGTGCTAACAGATTTGTACAAATCAAAAAGCAAAGTATGAAGACTCACAAAACGCTGCCCACCGACGGGTATCAAAATGGCATTAATAATTAGTCTCGCTGATAAAGTGGCCGTTGCAATCGATTGCAGCCTTGTAAAATGTCGCATGGTATATGGTGCGTATATAATGACGTCTCGGACGGCCGAAATAATAGGGTCAAAGTAAAAACAATTCGACACGCATACGTTATACATTATTTCTACAACTCGTCGCGACCAGCACCGGCGAGAGGTTGGGGGGGTTTGGGAGCGTCGAGGCTGGTCCACAGCTTCTTCACATCGTCAAACGTCGAGGAAAAGTCGGCACCAAAGAACCAGGCAATACCAACCTGAAGCCTCGTCAGTCATTAGTATAGCAGCAAGTTCACTTAGAACTTACCATAAGAAGAGCCATGAAGACAAGGGAGAGAATGACAACCATCCACATAACGAAGCCCTCACCGGGGTCAGCAGTAGGCTCGCCCAATTGTCTCTTCTCGTTGGCAGCATTCAATTTGGCCGCATCCTGCTTGGGATACAAAGTCTCGATGAATTGCTCAATCTGTAACATTGTCAGTACACAAGCAGCGAGGGCCAGGTTTTGTTGACTTACCTTGGCACATCGCGCACTAATGGCCAAAAAGTTAGGATCACGCGGATCGTTCTTCCTATGAATGCGGCGAACGTATCTCCGGAAAATTTCGCAGACAGTAAAGAGGTTTTGTGTGGACTCGAACATGATTTGGCAGGTATCGCCCTTGGTGATCTTTACATTCCGCTCGAGGATGGCGGGATTGCGAAATATTAGCTCGAGTGTGGCAATTGCCATCGTCTGTGGGATAGCAACAAAGTTGAAACAGCTCTGATCGCGCATGCCGGCCATATAGAAAAGGCACTCTTCAACGTGTTTGAGGGCATCAAGCACCATTTCGGAAATGCAGTTGAGGGCCTGTTCACGCTTAGAAAGCTCAAAGAGGTCCTCCCATTTGTCGACATGCTTGCTCCAGATCTCTTTGGGATACCAACGACGACCGTCGACCCAATCCTCGTGAATGTCACGAATGATATTTGTCTTTTGTAGGAATTGTCCCATAGACTCTGTGAGGGATGGCCTCTCGGCGAGCTTAGGGTTGGCCAGCTCAGAGGTAACAAAAAGGCGAGTGAGACCCTCACCAACGAGGCCAGCAACGTAGTGGCAGTAGAGCTCATAGTCCTCGATAGTCTGTAGGCCGTTCTCAATCTTGTCGGTGTCGGCGGCGTAGTCAGCCATGCCGTTGCCCATCTTCTTGGTGAGGTCCTTGATAATTTCGTAGTACTGGGGCTTGAGGTTCTTCAACTCGGCAATGACCACGTCAAAGTGCTCGAGCAATTCGGCATCCTTTTCTTTACTACCGTGAAATTGCCAGCCATCAATTTCCATAGTATCGTGGAAGTTGCGTAACAGAGGGGTTTTCTTGTCGAGAGGAATCGTCATGTCATCTTCGATAGTGTCCAAGCCTCGGAGGACAAGATAGAAAAGAGCTACAGATACGAGAAGTTCGGGGTTCAGCTCCTGGATAACCATGGCAAAACTGCGACTGGTCATGTTGAGGTAGCGAAAGCACTCCTTGAGATTTGCAGACTCCTGGCTGGTGTCACGCCTGTGAACGGGCTCATGCCAGAGCTTCCTAAGCGACGTTAGCTATGTGCTTGACAGAATATGCTAGTCGCTGACCGTACCATTGGATAATGGAACGCAGCTGGTTTGGATGCATCAGGTAGTAAAAAGCACCCATTGTGACGCTGTAAAATTTTCCTTCTGCTGGTGGGGTCAAGACGCGGAACTGCAATTGAGGGAGAATGGATTGGAACAAGTGAATGATTCAGTGTCCTAGATGTAAGAAGGACACAACTAGACAGTGCGAGCCTTGAATGAGATAGATAGGCCTCAGGATCGTAAGAAGCTGGCAGGCAAAGTTGGTAGAAATTGAAGAAGGAAAATTAGGGGCTCGTAGGAATTTAACTTATCCATAGGCAGTTGGGTCTCCACGTGGGGAACCAGGCTGGTTGGCTGCAAAATTCAGCGTCTTCATTGGTACGGGGAGCTAGAGCTTCCAGCCGGAGAATAGTGCCGAAATTACGAGAACGAGTACGCCTGAGGCCTGACGTCCGCATAACAGATCGCGACAAAGTTTGCATCACATAGAGTCGGATTTAATATAAGTGACCGGTCCCGTATGGGATCAATCAGTGTCTCACGCGGTCAATAGAGCACAATGTGAAGGCTCATAAATAGTAGGTACGCTGCTAGCTTCGATGGTCAGGTTGACGGCTGACTTTATGAATATGAAAAGACTATTAGTAAAATGAACAAGAATATAGAGGAGGAAATCATAAGATAATTGCACCATAAACAGAAAATCTTGAAATCCCTCCAGCGAATTAATAAATCGCCTCCTTGTCACTCATTTGTTCGTCCCATGTCCAAAGCTGCTTGGTCTGCACCGCCATCATTCACGTGCACCCGCCACAGTAATGGATAAGACGTGTGGCTTGGCCCGGCAAACAGACACAGCCCCTCCATTACGTAGCGGTCGGTATCGGTCATCCTGGGATAAAATTTCCCGACCAGGCACCATTACACTTTCGGTTCTCTATCCCCCCCTCGCAACCGTTCGCCGCGGGCCGCTGTTGTCCCGGTTTGGTATTTCAACTCCCTTCGTATTCCAGAATCTCATTTCACCATACACGGCTCGCCGTGCGTCCCGAACACGCCAAAATGGTTGTCGACACGGTCTACTACGATGCGCTGGGCGTTCAGCCCACCGCGACCGAGCTCGAGATAAAAAAGGCCTACCGCAAGATGGCTATTCTCCACCACCCAGGTATAACCAACTCCTCAGGCAATGACGCAGAGTCAACTTTGATCGGCCACTCACGCCGTCCGCCACACCGGTCAAGCCAGCTAACCCGGTTCTCGCACCAGACAAGAACCCCAACGACCCGACCGCTCACGAGAAGTTCCAGGCCATCGGTGAGGCGTACCAGGTACTTTCCGACAAGGACCTCCGTGCCGCCTATGATAAGTTTGGCAAAGACCATGCGAAGCCACAAGAAGGGTTCGCCGACCCGGCCGAGTTCTTCTCGTCTATTTTCGGCGGCGAGGCCTTTGTCGACTGGATCGGTGAGATCAGCCTCATGAAGGATCTGACTGCCACCATGGATATCACTATGCAAGAGGAGCAGGCTGCAGCAGAGGCTGCCGAAGCTGAGCAGGCCGCGAGCGCAGCCGAGGGCACTAGTAAAGACGAGGCCGACTTTCCCGGCACTGATGAAGCTATAAAGGAGTCTATGAAGGACCAAACAGCAGCCGCCGCCGCCGCACCCCCACCTACCGTCGTCGTTGAGGAAGAAAAAACGCCTTCCAACGCCACCCCAAGTGTTGCAGCCGCCCCAAGTGTTGCTGCCGCTCCGGGTGTCGCCGCCGCCCCGGGTGTCGCCGCCGCCCCGGGTGCCACCACCAATCCTGCCCCTCCCCGCTCTGATGCGACATCGCCGGCTCCCTCGACCGGCTCTCACAGCCGCACACAAATCCCCTTGCGCCCTGCGCTGGCCGACAAGGCATATGATGCTAGCTCTGCAAACGCCGCCTCCCTTTCCGCCGAAGACGCCAAGAAGGATAAGAAAAAGTCGGGTCTGTCCAAGGAACAACGCGAGCAGTTGGCCGCTTTCGAAAAAGAGCGCGCGCGCGTTCGCCAGGAGCGCGTCGACAACTTGGTTCAGAAGCTGCAGGACCGCGTGAGCGTATGGACCGAGACGGACAAGGGCGACGACGTGACCCGAGCTTTTCAGGAAAAGATGCGTCTCGAGGTGGAAAATCTCAAGATGGAGTCGTTTGGAATTGACATTCTGCACGCTATCGGTCAGACGTACGTCTCCAAAGCCTCGGCCCTGCTGCGCAGCCAAAAGTTCCTCGGCTTCGGCGGCTTCTTTGGCCGTCTCCGCGACAAGGGCACGCTGGTCAAGGAGACGTGGAACACCATCAGTAGCGCCATCGACGCCCAGCAGACCATGGAGGACATGGCCCGCATGGAGGAAAAGGGCGGCGAGGATTGGACCGACGAGAAGCGCAGCGAGTACGAGCGCCGCGTGACGGGCAAAATTCTCGCCGCTGCCTGGCGCGGCAGCAAGTGGGAGATTCAGAGCGTCCTGCGTGAGGTCTGCGATAGTCTCCTGAACGATAAGAAAGTTCCGCTGTCCAAGCGCCTGGAGCGAGCCCACGCCCTGATTCTTATTGGTGACATCTTCAATAAGGTATGCACAGAACTTTTATAAAACACGTCATCAACTGACTAACATTTTCTTGTTTGCAGGCTCAACGATCTCCTGAAGAAGAAGGCGACTACCTCGTGTTTGAGCAGCTCGTCGCCGAAGCCGCCAAGAAAAAGGAAGACGAACATAAGCACAAGAGGGACAAGAAGGCCAAGGAAAAGTCTGCCGGTACCGCCGGGGATGTTCCGAATGTACCCAAGGCGTAATCACGCATAAGAAGGCCTAACCCGAGAAAGAGCTGAAAAGGCGAGTGTTGAGTGGTCGACCAGAAACTAGTTAATATTCCCCAAGAAGTAAATGTTTAGACGAAGGTCATCGTTGACGAGCAGGAAGTGAGGCAAGTATATTAGGAAGCAGACCCTTTGTGAAGGACATAAGTCGCGGCTTACAAATTCTCCGCTCCAATCCGAAAGAGGTCAACTTTAGTGGTATTGTTTTAGATGGGCTTGGTGTTATAGACAGACATAAATAGCACAAAGATGCGTTTTCCTACCCAATTCTTTACCTCGGGCGCTGTGGCGAGAACAGTCTACGTCCCATCGAAGGGAGCTTTGCTCCCAAGCACTGTCTCAAAAGTGTGTGCCGAATCCAAGCTGGATTTGCCAGATTTACCCTTGAGCCTGGCCGATTAATGGATATCCGTACAAATGCGGCGGCATGTCCGATTTGAAATTGTCGCCAGTCGTTGGGGCTAATCCGACTCGTAACCGCTTCACTCGACACTCAAATCGGCATACGTAGTTCACGAAGCCCCAGTGTTCTGGAGGGCGTTGTTTTTGGGAACTCTCTCTCCCCAAGATCTAGGCACTTTTTTCCCTGCCATCGGAAGTCTTGGTAGTGACTAAAAATAGCGGCTAGCCTTTCCGCACAGTTGCTACAGTGGCCAGTGGGTATCAACAAGTGCCAGTAAAAGCGGATTTTATACCTAAGCAAATACTTTTTAAAGTGATATAAGACTCTCAACATAACTAATAAAATTCTTTATACCTATTAAGAAACTATTTCGTTTTTTATATATCTTAATAATTTTTATTATTAATTATAAAATTATCTTTTTTTAAAGAAATAAAACTTTAATTTTTTTTTAGTTATTTTTAATATTTTATATTTAATAACTAATTAATAAGTTTTAAAATATAACTATATTAATAATAATTTAATATTTATAGATTTAGTACTCTATAGTCCTTTATTTTTTTCTATACTACCTTATATATTACTTATTATTATATAATTATAGTATATTATAAAGTACTTAAATAATATAGTTAATAAGCGAGTAGCGTAGATAAGCGAGTAGCGTACCTCTACTAACCTATTATATC